ACCATAAAATTTCCTAAAGGTGTTATTGTTTCCACAAACCGGAATTCCTAATCTCCTATGGATTAAGCCGCTTTTGGTGGGGATTAAAATCAGTTATTTACTAAATTTTGATAAAAGTTGAAGAAATGATTTTTTTCGAAAAGTTGTGAGTCTTATAAAATATGTTATTAAAATTAGTTATTGACTGTGATTTAAATTAAAATTTTAATTTTAATTTTTACCAAACAAGGGTTAAACTTCAATTAAAAATGCAGAGTAATACTATTCATAGTCGTTCACTGCGGTAATCGCCCTACGTGGCATCCTACATGATAGTTTGTAATTTGATATATTAATGTGATAGTTTTTTCTTACCTTATATATCAAATCATTAACCGTAATATGTATGGAAGTATTCAAATGCAATATTTTCATAAATAGGTAGTACCTTTTTCTCGTTCATATGGAAGTATTCAAATGCAATATTTTCTTTAAAAAAAATAAAAAATAAAAAAAAAACCTCGGAAGAATGACCTAAGAGAATCAGAACTGTAAAGTAAAACTTGCTGATACATTTAATTACCACGCACGACTAGGTTTTCATTAAATTTCTTGGACGAGCAATTTTCCATATTTAATGTTATTGAGTCGATTTGGATATAAGAATGAAGTCTTCTTTTATTACTTGTAGATGTCTGAATTTATGTCATTGGTGCTTGATACGGGTATAAATTATTTCCACGGCAGAGTCCAGTATTCAAGTTAGCATTAAAGAAACATATATACATATGCTTAATTTAATCAACACATACATAGAAATAGTTGTAGGCTTGTAGCTAAATTCTACGTATTAAACAGACTTTTAAGAAATAAAGAAAGTAAGATTTTTTTTTACCTTTTTCACGAAGCATTAATTTGATGGCCGAACTAAGCAGACTGTGTTCTCAAGACATTTCCAAGATGCCTCCACAGAAAAGAAAATTGTGCACATATCAAGTGAAACTGGGAGTTCCCGCAAACACTTCAGAAGGCTAAATGGCTGCATTTTGTCCAGCAGCCAAGGATCCCCCATGAAGCGGTCAGGGGAACTCTAGGGTACACCTGATGTTAAGCTATTGCCTTCCACGGTTCCACCAGTGATATTTATAATGCACTCAGACCAGTGGAGGTCTCTTTGCACTTCGTCGGTTCATAGGTGTACAATAGGGTTCGTAAAACCATCCAGGACATTAGGATAGCAGGTAAGGATTCGATATCAAATTAGGTCAAGAAATGATAATAGAGACAAAAGCCCTCAGGCGATGAACCTGGACGGGAATGTGGATAATATTGAAAAATGAGAATCTTGATAAATACTGTGTGGTCATCCCATATCATCTCCATTATTGGAAACAGCTTTCTCCCGGATGGTAAGATTTCTGATATTCGTCGAAAAGCCAGCATTGAATCATTGACCATCACTTAATCTGGATTATGAGTTTGAGCTCGACCAACAGTTCAACCCATCGTCCAATAATCACCGAACTAAGTTACTAATTAAGCTATAAAGGCGACTAATTATGATTATATTTCCTGTTCCCCTTCCATAAATGGCTGCATCTGCTTGTCTTGTATCTAGTTGCATGTAAACATATCTTAAATTAGTGCTTTATTGATTTATATTATATTTTGATGTCATTGTTACTCTAATTAATTTTCAAATTAATTGTTGAAGTGTAATTCCTGTCTATTAACCAGTCAACATACACTTCATTATCCAATTATAAGATCATAAGTAAGGGAGCATTTGCTACGAATAAATGATCCTTTGTTAACCAAAGGATATGTAACCATCGACTTGCTAGGAATTATGCTTCATTTCTAATGTGACACAAAATACAGACCAGGTTCAAGATAGAAAAGAATTGTAGTATTTCTCAGTATTTATCCTATTCTGAATGCACTTTTCAACTTTTAGCATCAAGTTTTATTTTCTTGATATTTATTTGACTCTTTACACCGATTACTTGTTACAATATAATGACTATGATGTGATTCGGTTTATAGTTCTAACGATAATTATTTTTAAAATTCGAAACCAACATAATATGATGTGTTTTCCATGAAACCGGAGATCATTAGTTGATAAAAAAAACCTCATATCTATTGATGAAAACTATATATCCATGTCGATGTTCAACTTGTGTTGACCGAACTAAGGTTTGTCCTTATAGCTTCAAATCTGCCTTGTGATAATAAAACCATGACCTTTTAGTAAATTATGTACACAATTTCACTTGACTATTTCAAGGGACAAAGGGAGATAGAATAACTCATTTCTTAAATAATTTACTTGGCGAATTAAAATTGTAATTGAAATTTTGTTGGTTAAATATACATGCTATATAATTTTTGAGTCTATGAACCTAATTTAGAACGCAGGTTAAATGACAAAATAAAGGGAAGGTACAGGAAAAGTGAGAATAGCCTCCACATGCATCTTTTCGCCCACCACTTTTTCAGCTCTCTTTTAATGGAGAATCCACACTCCAAACATGTGATTTCTTCATTTATCCCACAGTTGCGACTAGGTTCGGGGGCTACTACGTACTTTCGTCTTCGAGTTTTCTTCCTCCATAAATAGTGACCAAAACTCAGTTCTTACGACATATACAAAGCTCGATCTATATATATACCCACAAACACATTATCATTTGATATTATATATTATATTATGAAGTGAAAGAAATATATATCTGAGTTTGTACAATGCATCAGGTTTCACCTTGAGTTCCCTTCAATCACTTCATTGCAATTGTTCTTTTTGAAGAACAATACCTAGTACTGAAGTGTTTGGGGGAACTCGTGATGTTACTTGATATGAACTAGAGAAATTATTGGAATTTATGATAGAAAATCACCGTATTTTTAAGTATTGCTACGTGCTATAGTTTGTTGAACGATTTGATTCTCATGGTAATTTCCCCTTTTATTTACATTGTTAAGTATGTGTTCTTATTTTCTAAAAAATTTCTAATAATTTTGTTTTTATATTCAGACGAGATCAAACATTTACTCTAGCCACGGTAAGCTTTAGCATTTCTTCTCTTTAGTGTACCTTATGGGTTTCAAAATAGTAGAATATTAATAACTAGTACACATTTCGTAAAGTCCACTATTATTTCTTTAAAATGTTACTAATGATTTTAAACGAATAGAGCTTAATGTCAATGTTATGTCTTGGTTTCTTCATAGGTTAAACATGAGTGTTCGGCACAGAGTGATGAACCTGGCTGAACACTTGAAATAGGACATTCAACCCAGTATGGAAGCTCTACAAAGGCTAATGATAAATTGGAGGTCGAAGAAATAGAGAATTTGTGTTATAAAATATAAATTAGATCAACCAAGAAACTTTAAAAAATCATTACTCACGAAGGTTGGTTTTCATCTCACAACCCTAGCTAGCTGAACACTGTCTGTGCTAAAAATTTAGGGATTGAACAGTGATGAAGTGCACCAGTCGGGAACTTATTCTCTTACTGTCTTTGTATTTACCCATAAATCATCTCGCTCCAAATATGAAAATATAAACCTCAAATTCTCTCACATTATTAATATCTAAGCAACTTGATTATCGGATTAACATTGGTCAACTATGTCGAGAATAATTAACTGCAAAAACCCAAAACTATGTTCAAACACGTACAGAGAGAAAATCATGTGAGAGAGATCTTCAGGAAGCCGGATGTGTGTGCGTGAGAGCCAATTCATACACGCAGAGAGAGAATGCAATTCCGGCAGCAATGCTAAAGAGAGAAATTTGTAGGGAGGGAAAGAAAAATTAGAGCCGTGCAATAATGCGTTCTAACTTTGTATTGCGTGAGACTAAAAGAGCGTTTGAAGTTTGTATATTCCTGCTTTGAATAATGAATTGATTTTTCCTTTCTTGTGATTATCAATGATTTATCAAACCACATTTAATTCTTTTTTTTTTTTTTGGGTAATACTACATATACATCAGGTTGTTCATAACGTTGTCCAACCTCCTCACATGGAGGGGTATTCATTTCAATTAAAATATAATTTATTTGAAGTAGGTCTCCCTCCATATGAGAGAAGTGGACAACGTTATGGACATGACATTATGTACAAGTAGCATATTCCATTTTTCTTTTGCTCATTTTGTGTTTTCGCTGCGCATGAAGGGTATTAATTTTCCCCAACAAATATTCCTATTGAGTATGATTGAACTTAGTAACCAAGGTGAGTTTGCTTCTTTGACCAAAAGATCCTGACTGAATTTAGACGTCAACATAAACAATGTAAACACGTTTTCTCTCCTATGAAGTTTTTAGTTTAAAATCCAAACTAACATTTGAAAAATAAGCATAAATATTCCATATTGGGTTAGAATTTTAGAGAGAAAAGTTGGTTCAAAATGTCGTTATCTTTATAAAATAAAAGTATAAAAATTGTGAAGATATAATCTTAGCTCTTCAAGAAATTACAGGTTCGATTAATATGCTATCCCTTGCACCTCCATATTTCAATAAAATATATTGCACATAGAAGTAAAGAAAGAGCTGTCAATCAGTCATGTATGTGTTAGAGAGAGAAACTCTCAACTTTAATGAGAGAAATACTCACTAAAGTTGTCCCTTGTTTTCGTGAGCTCACTGAAATTGTTCGATTTGCCTCCAATACTTGGTAATGCCAAATTTAGCATTATAGATTTTGTTAAAATCTGCCCAGATCCAAGATTTAACTTTGAAGAATCTCGAGTTTCTTGAAGGTTTAAAGACTGGCCAAAATGGTGTTGCAATGGTCTGCCAAAAAGACGTTGCAATGGCCTTGAAAGTTTCAAGTTTTTCAGCTACTCTTGGAAGATTTGAAAAGGTCAGCAGGTCATATGCATTTTTCACTACAACATTTTCTACTTTTTATAACATTTAATCATAGCATTCTTTTTAAAAATACTATTAATTAAATAAATATTATACTTTATTGAATATAATAGCGTTCAGCCTGCTTATAATTAACTGTCTGTCCAATTTTTCACATGCACTCCCATCTCCCATCACTTTAACCCTTTCTTTTCCTTTATCTTTCTCTGCCACCGCATCAAATCCATTGCCTCTCGCCGATAAAACTCTCTAATTTCATCAAATTTTGGGCATTTTTCTAAACGCTTGCTCAAAGTTAAGTGGATTTGAGTCCTACAAGTCATCTTCAAGGTTTGCCCAATTTCTTACTATTCCTGCGATTGTCATTTCCTTCATCCTTGGCAAACAAAATCCTAATTGTGGGAATAGGTTTTCATTCACCGTGAAGATTGCAGGAAGAGTGAACAGGTTGCTCACCTCGTGCCGACAGATTGCAGAAGGGTTTTGAATCTTTTCTGTAAGCGGCCGATTTCTTATTGTGCAGTGATTTAATTGTGAAATAGGAATTTTGGATTGTATGTATATTTTTTTTTTTAAAGAAAGAAAATTTCTTTTATTGCTTAGTTGTTCTCACTTCTCCAATTGGGTTTAATTTCTTTATAAGTTTTGCATTTGTGTGTAGCGTCCATTTAATTTCTGATTTTGAGTCCAACCTTTGTTTCCCCCCCAACTTTCTAGGAGTTTTCACTTAAAAGTGTGTAGCGTGCATTCCTTGATTTTCCTCTTCGTGATGTGGGTCAGCATCCAATCTCAATTATGTAACTCAATTTCTTTATGTATTGCGCGAGTGTGCAATTAGGTTCTGCTAATATTTGAGAGAATGGTTATTGGTGTGGGATTTGATTGCGACCCAATGATTTTTCACAGCAGATGAAAAAGGAATATGGATTATGGTGAGTCAAACTTCTGGGAAAAAAAACTTTTCCATCTTTTTGAGTATGTATAACTTGATATAAATTTATAAGCAGAAATAAGCATTCATATGTATGCATGCTAAAAATCATCTAACATCTTTGGTTGATTATTTGTATGTAACAAGTTTATTTAAGTTATTATCATGTCCCTTACTTAATCTCTAACAACAGGCACAGAACTTGAAGCTCATTCCATTATGTAGCAGATTATGTCTTCTATTGGTACGTATCATACTTTCCCGTTTTGTTCATATTAAGGATGATCAAGTAGCTTATCTGAAGAATCTTATATTATGTATTTTTGAGTTTGGTATCTATGGTACTATGCAATTTTTGTTACTCCCTCAACACTCTTCTGTGTTTTCATTCACAGTTCAAGAAAGAAGGGTACCAGTCTCACGTATTAAGCTGTTTGTCTGCATAAGAAAATATTGAAATTAATTGGTCCTATTTGGTTTTGTCATCTTCAAGAATTTCTTTAAGATTCCTTGATGAGAGAAAATGGCAACTTCGAATTCAAGATATAGTTCACAGGTGCTTTGCCTGCTTCTCTTCTTCAATTTCACGGGTTGCAAACTAAATGAAAAATCGTTAATCAGGACCAGAGAGTACGATATTGAACTTAAACAAAATTCATTGGCTGATGCTTATAAAGTGTTTGATTATGCAGTTGAGAGCAAGTGCTTGACTGATGTTACTACATACACGATATTTAGAGAGCACTTCAGTGGTTGAGTAAAGCTAGAGAACAAGGTATTGTTGTTTCGTTTGAATATCCAGTACTACTTTTTTTCGAATGTTTTGAACTCCATAGCCTTATTCATTCATTTACAGTTCATGTATGCCAGTAAATGTATTTGGTATTCTTGTTCGAATGCGCTCCTCATTTTGGGAAAATTGGATTCAATATTAACTAGTTGTGATCTCATAAGGTTAGCAATTAATTAGAGACTTCTTCCCATGCTCATGAATCTCATAAGGATTGCTATTAATTCTAAATAATTATATGAAAAAGGTTGAGATGTTTTCTTAACAATGGTGAGAGATCCCCTTTCAACTGCTAATTGATGGAGAATCTCATGACTTTATGGCTTACTAAGATTTATAAAGCCATGTGTTATGAAAACTAATTTTACCCATTTGAATGGGAGCAGAGTATATGCTATTGGCAAGTCATGTAAAGCTTCACATTCTTTAGTTGCCTCTTAAGCTTTTTTTCTTCCTCTTATAATGGTTGTTCCTTTGAATAGTTATGTCCAGTAAGAGAAATAGAAGTTATACTACGAACAATGTAAAGCGAAAAAATTTAGTCTCGTGTTCTAATGTTTTTATTTCTCTGGCTAAGATTTCTAGAGTTTCTCTACATGGAGACCAATGTGGAAATGCAGATTGCATTGATATTGGCAGTCAACCAAAGGATTTGAGCATTGCCATTCTTTCCCCTGATCTTGCCTTGGTGTCAATTGAAACTGGAGATGTCCTCCTGCGCGGTGCAAATGTCTTGTCTACCACTAATCTTGGATTCGTTGTAACAGCATGTACCATTGCGCCTGATGGAACAGGGGCAATTGTGGGCAGTCAAGATGGGAAGTTGCATGTATATTCCATCACAGGTGATATTCTGAGAGGCAGTACTTAAAAAAATCGGGTGGCAATCACTGTCATTCGCTACTCTCCAGATGTTTCCATGTTTCCACGTTTGCATTAGCAGATGCTAATCAAGAAGCTGTTGTCTGGGACCGTACTTCCCATGAGGTATCGAATAGTCATCCCTACTATTCGTTGACTTTTTTTGCCATGTATTACTTATTATAAAGAAAGTCACTTGTTAATATTGTCTGATGTCTTGGCAGTATTACTTCCCGTGAGGTATCGAATATATAGTCATCCCTATTATTGAATGATTTCCAGGCTCCTCCATTGCAAAAGATGGTTTGACGGATGTCTTCTCCAAACTTGTTGCAAGAGTTCAAGAAATATTGTCTTTTCAAGTATTGCAATTAATATTTGATATGAAGACGAAACATAATTAGATTTCTCTATTGAATAGCCGCACTTGTGTATTTCTGCAAGACAATATTGATGAATGTGTTGGAATTTATTATTGGTCGCGTTATTGTTGTTCATGTTTTTAGTATTGAATATTTACATTTGATAATCAAAGAATTAGGAATGCTATGTAATATGTATATATTACAATCAAAAAATGCTATTAAAAATAATAAATTATATTCAAAAATGCTATAAATATTAAAAATTATGATGAAAAAGAATGTTATAGAAGACATAACATGACGATTAAAAAATGCTATTAAAGCTAAAATTATGACAACAAAATGCTATCGAATTAAAAAAGAATGCTATAAATATTAAAACCATGACAATAATAAAATGCTATGTAAAAGTTTTTATAACACTTTATGATAGCATTTTTAAAATGTTATAATAAAGGTATGATTTTTAATAACACCACCTACGATAACATTTGAAAAAATGCTATAAAACATGATAGATAGCATTTTTCGAAAGCTATAGAAGATTTGATATGTTGTAGTGGTTCTTCTAATTTTTGCAACGTTGTGCCCAGTTTCTTGGTGCATCTCTTTGGTAAGGATTGATTCCAGCTTCAATACTTGGCGCTGCATCGAATTTGTCACAAGTCCAGGTGTGTTCGGCCAGTTATGTGTACTGTTTAGTGCGTTTTCTAGTCAGTTGTTAGGCAGATTCTAGATTGTTTCTTCTGACTCCAAGGAGGTTGGTTCTATTCATACAGTTTTTGCTTGAAGGTCATAAGTTAGTGGTAAATTAAAACTGGACAGCAGGTTTGATCTATCATTGGAATTTCAGTTTCTTGTTAGGCTGTTTTTTTACTCAATTGGGCAACAAAATCAAAATTTTGAATTTTCTCAAACTGCCCTTGCAGTAACTCAACAATGTTGACTGCTTTTGCAGTATTTTAATACCCGAAATGGTAAAAATTTCAAAATTTTTGTACTTTGTTTGGCCTTAATTCAAAAAATATTTCCCTAATTATTTTTTGAACCATAGCCTATTTCCTGCATGTTTATCACTTTTTTCAGGCATTGTTACATACAGCTCCTACTCCTACTATGGGGAGATCACGTTATTTTGTTATATTTATTGATGACTACTCTCGTACACATGGCTTTATCTTATGCAAAACCGATCTAAACTTCCACAAATTTATATTGAATTTCAAAAAATGATTCAAACTCAATTTTCTCGTTCAATTAAAATTTTTCGATCTGATAATGCCAAGGAGTATAGAGAATCCTCTTTTCTTGTCACTTTAAAACAAAATGGCACGATTCCCCATCACTCTTGTCCTAGCACCTTTCAACAGAATGGGTGTGCTGAGCGCAAGCATCGCCATATCTTTCTTCTTCTATTCCAGAATCGTTTTGAGATGAAGCTGTTCTCACTGCGATTTACACAATCAATCGTATTCCTTCGCCTGTCACACACCATAAGTCGCCCTATGAGTTGCTCTATAGGAAAATTCCTGATTGTCACTCGCTTATGGTGTTCGGGGGTGTGTGTTTTGTTCTTCTTCAACCTCATGAACATAGAAAGTTACAACCTTGTTCTCGTTTGTGATGTTTTCTAGGATATGGTATTGAACATAAAAGTTGGTGTTGTGACCATATTGACCAGCCTCTTCGAGTTTCACATCATGTTACCTTTTGGGAGAATAAGTTGTTCAGTAGTACGGGCTCGTTTCCTCAACTTCGTAGTCATCTCCCTCTTTTTACAGATGTTTTTTGTGAGTTTGCTACTATACACTAATGACCTTAGTGAAGAAATTGTGAGTTCCAACAGCAGTCAACCGATTGGCACTACTACTGACTCTGGAATGCTATGATTTCTGGGTATGAAAGGAATGGGGAGAGTGATGCTGCTTTTGAAATATTCAATCAGATGATCGAGAACAAAGTTGAGCCAAAATTAGTTACTTCTAATTGCTTTTTGTCTGTTTGTAGTCATACTGGTCAAATTGAAAAAGGATGGCAGATTTTTGGATTGATGAATGAAGACTATAGTCCAAATCCAACTCCCGAACAAATCAATATCATGATTGATCTCCTTTGTCGGTCAGGCAGGCTGGACGAAGCTTGTGAATAACAAGGGATATCCGAAAGGTCTGCTTCTGTTTTGGCTTCTTTGCTTGGGGCTTGTAAGTATAATTCATATTCCAAGCTGGGAGAAGAAATGGCTAAGAGACTTTCAGAGTTGGAGCCTGAAAGTGCAATTCTCTTTGTTATTTTGTCCAACATAGACAAGGGAAGTGGAAGGATGTGGAAAAGATCAGAATCATAGCGAGGAAGAAAGGACCTGAGAAACTCCCTGGTTTTAGTTTGACATTAGTGACATAAAAAAATAGAAGACAAATTATTACTTGTCTATTCTTTTAACAACCGGAGACAGAAGCATTCAATTCATGGAAGTATTCAAATGCAATATTTTCTTTAATAATAATAATAATAACAACAATAATAATACTAACCTCGAAAGAATGACCTAGGAGAATCAGAATTGTAAAGTAAAACTGGTCGACACAGTTCATTACCATGTACGACTAGGTCTTCATTAAATTTCTTAGATGAGCAATTTTTCATATTTATTGTTATTGAGTCGATTTGGATTTAAGAATGAATTTTTTTTTATTTTTTTTAATTACTTATAGATGTCCGAATTTATGTCATTGGCGCTTGATTCAGGTGTAAAATATTTCCACGACAGTCCAATATTCAAGTACAAACATGTATACATATGAATCAACACATACATAAAAATAGTTGTAGCTAAATTGTAAGTATTAAACAGGCTTAAATAAAGGAAGATATATTTTTATTACCTTTTTCACGAAGCATTAATTTGATGGCCGAACTAAGCAAACTGTGTTGTCAAGACATTTCCAAGATGCCTCCACAGAAAAGAAAATTGTGCACATATCAAGTGAAACTGGGAGTTCCCCCAAACACTTCAGAAGGCTAAATGGCTGCATTTTGTCCAGCAGCCAAGGATCCCCCATGAAGCGGTCAGGGGAACTCTAGGGTACACCTGATGTTAAGCTATTGCCTTCCACGGTTCCACCAGTGATATTTATAATGCACTCAGACCAGTGGAGGTCTCTTTGCACTTCGTCGGTTCATAGGTGTACAATAGGGTTCGTAAAACCATCCAGGACATTAGGATAGCATGTAAGGATTCGATATCAAATTAGGTCAAGAAATGATAATAGAGACAAAAGCCCTCAGGCGATGAACCTGGACGGGAATGTGGATAATATTGAAAAATGAGAATCTTGATAAATACTGTGTGGTCATCCCATATCATCTCCATTATTGGAAACAGCTTTCTCCCGGATGGTAAGATTTCTGATATTCGTCGAAAAGCCAGCATTGAATCATTGACCATCACTTAATCTGGATTATGAGTTTGAGCTCGACCAACAGTTCAACCCATCGTCCAATAATCACCGAACTAAGTTACTAATTAAGCTATAAAGGCGACTAATTATGATTATATTTCCTGTTCCCCTTCCATAAATGGCTGCATCTGCTTGTCTTGTATCTAGTTGCATGTAAACATATCTTAAATTAGTGCTTTATTGATTTATATTATATTTTGATGTCATTGTTACTCTAATTAATTTTCAAATTAATTGTTGAAGTGTAATTCCTGTCTATTAACCAGTCAACATACACTTCATTATCCAATTATAAGATCATAAGTAAGGGAGCATTTGCTACGAATAAATGATCCTTTGTTAACCAAAGGATATGTAACCATCGACTTGCTAGGAATTATGCTTCATTTCTAATGTGACACAAAATACAGACCAGGTTCGAGATAGAAAAGAATTGTAGTATTTCTCAGTATTTATCCATATATTCTGAATGCACTTTTCAACTTTTAGCATCAAGTTTTATTTTCTTGATATTTATTTGACTCTTTACACCGATTACTTGTTACAATATAATGACTATGATGTGATTCGGTTTATAGTTCTAACGATAATTATTTTTAAAATTCGAAACCAACATAATATGATGTGTTTTCCATGAAACCGGAGATCATTAGTTGATAAAAAAAACCTCATATCTATTGATGAAAACTATATATCCATGTCGATGTTCAACTTGTGTTGACCGAACTAAGGTTTGTCCTTATAGCTTCAAATCTGCCTTGTGATAATAAAACCATGACCTTTTAGTAAATTATGTACACAATTTCACTTGACTATTTCAAGGGACAAAGGGAGATAGAATAACTCATTTCTTAAATAATTTACTTGGCGAATTAAAATTGTAATTGAAATTTTGTTGGTTAAATATACATGCTATATAATTTTTGAGTCTATGAACCTAATTTAGAACGCAGGTTAAATGACAAAATAAAGGGAAGGTACAGGAAAAGTGAGAATAGCCTCCACATGCATCTTTTCGCCCACCACTTTTTCAGCTCTCTTTTAATGGAGAATCCACACTCCAAACATGTGATTTCTTCATTTATCCCACAGTTGCGACTAGGTTCGGGGGCTACTACGTACTTTCGTCTTCGAGTTTTCTTCCTCCATAAATAGTGACCAAAACTCAGTTCTTACGACATATACTAAGCTCGATCTATATATATACCCACAAACACATTATCATTTGATATTATATATTATATTATGAAGTGAAAGAAATATATATCTGAGTTTGTACAATGCATCAGGTTTCACCTTGAGTTCCCTTCAATCACTTCATTGCAAGTGTTCTTTTTGAAGAACAATACCTAGTACTGAAGTGTTCGGGGGAACTCGTGATGTTACTTGATATGAACTAGAGAAATTATTGGAATTTATGATGGAAAATCACCGTATTTTTAAGTATTGCTACGTGCTATAGTTTGTTGAACGATTTGATTCTCATGGTAATTTCCCCTTTTATTTACATTGTTAAGTATGTGTTCTTATTTTCTAAAAAATTTCTAATAATTTTGTTTTTATATTCAGACGAGATCAAACATTTACTCTAGCCACGGTAAGCTTTAGCATTTCTTCTCTTTAGTGTACCTTATGGGTTTCAAAATAGTAGAATATTAATAACTAGTACACATTTCGTAAAGTCCACTATTATTTCTTTAAAATGTTACTAATGATTTTAAACGAATAGAGCTTAATGTCAATGTTATGTCTTGGTTTCTTCATAGGTTAAACATGAGTGTTCGGCACAGAGTGATGAACCTGGCTGAACACTTGAAATAGGACATTCAACCCAGTATGGAAGCTCTACAAAGGCTAATGATAAATTGGAGGTCGAAGAAATAGAGAATTTGTGTTATAAAATATAAATTAGATCAACCAAGAAACTTTAAAAAATCATTACTCACGAAGGTTGGTTTTCATCTCACAACCCTAGCTAGCTGAACACTGTCTGTGCTAAAAATTTAGGGATTGAACAGTGATGAAGTGCACCAGTCGGGAACTTATTCTCTTACTGTCTTTGTATTTACCCATAAATCATCTCGCTCCAAATATGAAAATATAATCCTCAAATTCTCTCACATTATTAATATCTAAGCAACTTGATTATCGGATTAACATTGGTCAACTATGTCGAGAATAATTAACTGCGAAAACCCAAAACTATGTTCAAACACGTACAGAGAGAAAATCATGTGAGAGAGATCTTCAGGAAGCCGGATGTGTGTGCGTGAGAGCCAATTCATACACGCAGAGAGAGAATGCAATTCCGGCAGCAATGCTAAAGAGAGAAATTTGTAGGGAGGGAAAGAAAAATTAGAGCCGTGCAATAATGCGTTCTAACTTTGTATTGCGTGAGACTAAAAGAGCGTTTGAAGTTTGTATATTCCTGCTTTGAATAATGAATTGATTTTTCCTTTCTTGTGATTATCAATGATTTATCAAACCACATTTAATTCATTTTTTTTTTTTGGGTAATACTTCATATACATCAGGTTGTTCATAACGTTGTCCAACCTCCTCACATGGAGGGGTATTCATTTCAATTAAAATATAATTTATTTGAAGTAGGTCTCCCTCCATATGAGAGAAGTGGACAACGTTATGGACATGACATTATGTACAAGTAGCATATTCCATTTTTCTTTTGCTCATTTTGTGTTTTCGCTGCGCATGAAGGGTATTAATTTTCCCCAACAAATATTCCTATTGAGTATGATTGAACTTAGTAACCAAGGTGAGTTTGCTTCTTTGACCAAAAGATCCTGACTGAATTTAGACGTCAACATAAACAATGTAAACACGTTTTCTCTCCTATGAAGTTTTTAGTTTAAAATCCAAACTAACATTTGAAAAATAAGCATAAATATTCCATATTGGGTTAGAATTTTAGAGAGAAAAGTTGGTTCAAAATGTCGTTATCTTTATAAAATAAAAGTATAAAAATTGTGAAGATATAATCTTAGCTCTTCAAGAAATTACAGGTTCGATTAATATGCTATCCCTTGCACCTCCATATTTCAATAAAATATATTGCACATAGAAGTAAAGAAAAAGCTGTCAATCAGTCATGTATGTGTTAGAGAGAGAAACTCTCAACTTTAATGAGAGAAATACTCACTAAAGTTGTCCCTTGTTTTCGTGAGCTCATTGAAATTGTTCGATTTGCCTCCAATACTTGGTAATGCCAAATTTAGCATTATAGATTTTGTTAAAATCTGCCCAGATCCAAGATTTAACTTTGAAGAATCTCGAGTTTCTTGAAGGTTTAAAGACTGGCCAAAATGGTGTTGCAATGGTCTGCCAAAAAGACGTTGCAATGGCCTTGAAAGTTTCAAGTTTTTCAGCTACTCTTGGAAGATTTGAAAAGGTCAGCAGGTCATATGCATTTTTCACTACAACATTTTCTACTTTTTATAACATTTAATCATAGCATTCTTTTTAAAAATACTATTAATTAAATAAACATTATACTTTATTGAATATAATAGCGTTCAGCCTGCTTATAATTAACTGTCTGTCCAATTTTTCACATGCACTCCCATCTCCCATCACTTTAACCCTTTCTTTTCCTTTATCTTTCTCTGCCACCGCATCAAATCCATTGCCTCTCGCCGATAAAACTCTCTAATTTCATCAAATTTTGGGCATTTTTCTAAACGCTTGCTCAAAGTTAAGTGGATTTGAGTCCTACAAGTCATCTTCAAGGTTTGCCCAATTTCTTACTATTCCTGCGATTGTCATTTCCTTCATCCTTGGCAAACAAAATCCTAATTGTGGGAATAGGTTTTCATTCACCGTGAAGATTGCAGGAAGAGTGAACAGGTTGCTCACCTCGTGCCGACAGATTGCAGAAGGGTTTTGAATCTTTTCTGTAAGCTGCCGATTTCTTATTGTGCAGTGATTTAATTGTGAAATAGGAATTTTGGATTGTATGTATATATTTTTTTTTTTTTAAAGAAAGAAAATTTCTTTTATTGCTTAGTTGTTCTCACTTCTCCAATTGGGTTTAATTTCTTTGTAAGTTTTGCATTTGTGTGTAGCGTCCATTTAATTTCTGATTTTGAGTCCAACCTTTGTTTTCCCCCCAACTTTCTAGGAGTTTTCACTTAAAAGTGTGTAGCGTGCATTCCTTGATTTTCCTCTTCGTGAAGTGGGTCAGCATCCAATCTCAATTATGTAACTCAATTTCTTTATGTATTGCACGAGTGTGCAATTAGGTTCTGCTAATATTTGAGAGAATGGTTATTGGTGTGGGATTTGATTGCGACCCAATGATTTTTCACAG